TGGAAAAAGAATACACCCTGTGAAAAGGTTTCAGTAGGAAAATGAAAGATGAAAGAAGAAAATTGGTATAAATTCTATCTGTACATCCTTTCTTTGTCAAATAAAGTAAAAAAAGAAAGGGTTTCAGTAACTGTGGAGGGAGGAGTCCGCTTGTGATATTTAGTGAACATGGCTTGCAAAATATTAAATGGCACCAAGGTAGCGGAGAGCAACAACTGTGTATATTTAGGTCAACTGACTTGATCACCCGCCCACCATCCTTTTTCAGAAAGGCTCTAATTCCCGGTGAGAGTCCTGGCAAAACAGAGCCAATCCCGAAAGCACAGGACACAAGGCAGGACTGCACCCTGGGCAGGACACTTGTCCACCACTGGACACACATTCAAGAACACAGGGATAATTTAGATATACTGTATAGGTTAAGCTGGACAGCATGTCTCTGGGAAGTACGAGGAAACCAGAGGACACAGAAAGGGCATCCCACTCTGGAATCGAACGCGAGAACCAGAACCCAGAGGCACAACCCCAACATTGCCGTTTCAAACTGACTTGCTCATGTGAAAAACAAATACCCATAGTAGACAGAGATCTTCAGGACGTATGGAATATTAAGTATGCTACTGAAAGGCTAAAACCCCAGACAAAACATGTTGCTCAAAGTAACAGAAGGATGTGAAGCCTAGAACCTGAAGACAAAAAATATGTAAAAACTACAGATGCCCATAGAAAACGAGATTTCCCCTCTTCCAAACAAAAACAAAACTTTCCTTTTCAAAATATTGTACAGGAAGGGCTGCAAATCTCTTCGAAGCTGCCAAAGCTCTTTCTTCATCCTAACCAACTCCTATTATAAAAACAAGGCATTTTCCCTTATAGTATTAAAAACTGCCCGCAGTAAACAAAAACAATTGGAGAATTAACTATACCATGGAGATATAATAATGATTTACTAATCAAAGGAGCTCAAGAGAACACAAACACTCACTTGACAGAAAACTATTCAAACAATAAACCGCTTATGATTGGATAGTCATTGCTGGACCATTCCAAGACTGCCAGGTTCTGCTGCCTCTGGTCATTATCGAAGTCAGCAGGTCCTGTAAGCGTTTGCCAGAACCCCAGCTGACCAGTTATGTGAACCGACTCGCAATTCAAATGACAAAGATCAGGCTACGAATAGCAAACTATTTCAATTTGCTATTTATGGGATGTAAAGGACACCGTCCAACAATATAAAAAATAGGATGTGATCTACATTCAGAAATGGAGTTTACAGTATACTATACAAAACCAGCAATATAAATTTAAAGCTATACCAATATGTATAAAAGATGTATTCAATGGTTGACAAAAATAGAACGTTTAGGATGGGGAAACGTATATAAGAAGCAGACAATTCTTTCTCAGGCAATAAAAGAAATAAAACGAATTAAGAGGATTCGAGTATGAATATTTCACAAGCCTCAAGAGAGGTGATTCTGAAACTATATAATGCTCTGGTTTAGTTTTTTTCCCCAATTCTGGTCCTGTGGAGCCAGCAAGATCAATTTTCTAAAGTTCTGAAACAGTTTCAATTATTAAAGCAGGTGGTTTGTTCCATGAAGAAAATATACTGTAGTTATCTGAACACCCTTTCACTCTCAAGGACCAAAGGTTCTTTGGTTAAAATACCTGTTTTATTGACTAATAAGTGATAGGTGTTCCTATCCATTTTCTAACCACAACTTCCAATCTGGGGTCACGGGGTAGCTGGAGTTCATCCCAGAAAGCAATGGGATCACTTTCAAGCAACTCCAGATGGGATGCCAGTCCATCACAGGGCAGACACACAGAAACAAACACAACTAAATGTACCAGTATGTTTTTGGACTGTGGGAGGAAACTGGAGCCCTTAAGTAGGCAATTTAGTGTACCCTATAAGACTGACTGATTTGGATAAATAGGACCAGGGCTAGTTTGTGTCACTTGGTGTAGTTCTGAATACTGTACCACCATTACGACATAGAAGCTGCAAAATATATACCACTTTGGGATCCTCTGGGATAAAAAGTACTTTACAAATGAAAAAAG